GTTTCCTCATCGTGTTGCTCATCTCGCATGCTGCAGAAGCGGGTAGTTTGGTGGAGCCGGTCTGCATGATTGGCTCCACCAAAGAGGCCGCTATCGCGTCGCTAGCAGGGAGCAGCTTGAGCGCGGACCAGGCCCGCGCCAGCCACCAGATGTCGGCCCTCGAGCTCAACAAAGGATGAATTGGCGAGGCAGGTGACGCGCCGCGGCGCATTGCTGCAAACGGATGCTGTGAGGGAGAGAGTGGTAAAACTTACAGTCGTCAGGGACAGCGCCGGCGTCCTGGATGGGAGTGGCGGCGGTGGGAGAACCCGACTTCCAGAACTGCCACCAGGCCTTCTTCTTCTGGGTCTGCTCGGCGTGCGGGTTGGTTCGGGTGTCGCGGTAGAAGAGGATGTACTTCTGGAGCGCCGTGTACTCGTCCATGCCCTCGAACTCGGTCATGGAGACAATGGACTTTTGCCGCTCAGCGGCGCTGGAGGCGCGGGGGCGCTCAACATCGTCGTTGGGCGCCATCTTGTCGAATTAAGGAATGCTGTTGCTCGTATGTATTATTATATCCGGTAACTCTAGGCACAGAGAAGGCTTTCCGAGGCGACTTGACGGTGAGGTTGAGTGTCAGGTCGAATGTGCTGTGCAAATGGGTAACTGCAAGCAGGGCCTTCTCTGTGAAGAAAGTGCAGTGGGAGCGGGAGAGGCTCTGGTTAAGTAGCGCGGCAGAAACTCACCCACGTATCAACCCAGGGAAAAACTCAGCAAGGACCGACCTTTGGCCGCTATGAGGGATTTATGATTGTCATAAAGCTAACCGCGGATGGAGCTTAGCTCGAGCCGAGAGTCCCGGGGGTGAATTTGTTGTGAGCGGCCCGTGCGCCAGCCGCTACATCATCGGCGCGCGACATGGCGCAGAGATTGGCCGTCGCAGCGCCCGGCCGAGCGTGATGCGCTGATGACGGAGTGCTTACTACGGCTTCGACTGTGGTTGCGGTCTGCGCAGACTCTGGTACCTCGACGGGCACCAGCCGACAGCAATTGGGATGTCAGCAGCCGGCGTCGCGATTCGCAGCGCGGTTCATTGCTTCTCCACCAGCGGCAGCAGAGATTAAGCTGGAGATAGCGCGACAGTCCGCGACAAGCGTGCAGCGCTGCAGGGATCAGCTCCCATGACGTTTGGCAAGAGCGACCGGCAAACAGCTCCTCCACGCACCTTGCTCACTCCGGACGCACCAAGCTTCAGCACTCATACGCAGGAAAGCTTGAGTGCTTGGCGCCATCTCAGCCAGAGTGCGAGGCATTTTCCCCCCGTACGAGAGAGCCGCGTATCCAGACGGCCTCCCCACGCTGGCTGCGCGACTTTCCGACTTTCGCATTTGCACAATTTTCTTCTAGCGGCCTTCCAGACCCACGAACCAAGATATGCCACTTATCCCAACTGCCTCAACTGCAGCCGTCGCGCCATAATATCCGACTCCCCCCATGCAGCGCGCGCGACCAGCATGCCCAGATGAAGCAATTGTTTTCTGCCCCCCGCGTAATCGACCGCCGCCGCTTCTGCACAAAGCACCGCACTCCATGATTAAGCACGTGCCAAGCGGCTAAGGGGCGTCTCGGGGCCTGCCTCGAATCAGCCTTAGCTGTCTGCCACCCGACCATATCGGCCGAATCAGAGGCCCCCAGCCGCCCAGCGTCGCCTGGCCAACGGCTCCCAATTACCACCCATGTTATGGTCATACAATACATGCTATCTGCGACTCCACACGTCCCATGGCGCCGTTGCGATGCTACGCTCACACGACGTTGCGCAGGGTCCTGTCTGTTGAATTTGGATCGCGACCGAGATGACTTGGCTGTCGTGAGGCTGCAGGCATGGATGCGCCAACGCGCCCCAGTTCTTTCCAGACCGAGGAAGGCCTTCCCAACGAGGAAGCCGCGTCGACGCGCCACGTGACGTCCTGCCTGTGGCTCGCTCTCGCCTCCCTTGGCTGCGCGACTGCCGATGCTTCGCCGGTACACCAGTGAGCCTCACCGCATTGCCTCAGCCTCCAGAACGAGTGCGGGAATAATCTTCGCACCCACAAATATCACCCTCCGTCGCCGCTGCCGACACCAACCTCTCCATGTCTGCCCCGAGCCCTGAATCGCCAACCCCCACCGCCAATACCGCTGTCGGTCCGCGACCGTCACGCGCATTGCAACGCCATGGGCGTGTCATGTCGCCTGAAGACTTACCGGTCGAGATATGGCACATTATCATCATGTATATAGACGATCACTGTTTCGCATGGTTCGTGCTGCGCCAGATATCTCCCTTTCTGGCTCATGTCGCGCAAGATGTCTTCGCGCGCATCGTCTCGCGTACCTGCAGTCTTCGCTTCGCTGGACAGACGCTATGGAACTTGCTGTAAGCCGCGTTTCACCCTGCGCTGCTCGGGAAACTTTCACTCACCATGCCAGTCCTCCTGATCTTCGCTGTGATACACAATCCCCATATCACACCTTCCGCGTGCAGTTGCCGTCGTTTCGCTTCCAGCCCTCGTCTTTTGTCCCCGCTAGCTCCAAGGCCAGACTTGTTCTGAAACTATCTTCACCGGCAACTGTGAACGACACGCCATCCTTGCGCCGCCCATATGCAGGGACGGTAGACCTGACGAGCCGCCTCACTCAGGTTTTCTTCCATCCCGGCGCTGTCGCAGACGCCGAACGCAACCGTTTGCTTAACCAAGCCCACTTTGTGCTTTTTAATGACCAATTAAAGAGCGTCCGCCTGCCTTCACCAGCCATCGATGTTACCGCCCAGGAACTATCGCTTGACTGGCGCCAGCTCTGCGAGACCTTGATGCGCGACCAGTTCAAGTGTCGCTTTGGCTCCGGTGCGTCGGTCCCCTGGTGGAGAGAGTTTCCGTGACCGGTCCTGTATCACGTACCAAGAGCTACCTCACCACCGTCACGAGGCCATAACATGTTCTCCCGTCTGGGCAAGCGCACAAGTAATCTATGCTCGTTGCACCCCCAGATGGGTTTGATGGCCCGCCAAGTAGCAGATCAATTTTGCGTCAGCAACGGATCTGTGTAGATCGCCCTTGGCACTGGGAACACACACCTCCGACGATCCAATGTGTCCGCCGTGCGCCTCTCCTCCTTCTCCGCCTGGGCATATTCCTTCATGCCCGGGTCATTATCGTTCACCATCCGCACCTTACTTTAGACAAAGTATGCCCAGCTTCTCCAAGTGTTGCACTTGGGTGCGGCATTTCTGACATTGCCTTGGCTTCCCTCGCGGGACTATCCGAGCCGCGGACGTCCAAATTGGTCTTCCACGATGTGATGCAGCTCAACCTCAATATCGTTCTTGATGAACACATACAACCGTTCGCTCCGGCTACCATCCTTTACAATTTCACTATAATGGCCACGTCGACATCGTCATGGTGTCAGCGCGAGCCATCACCAGCAGATTTCCGTGACTAGCAGTCAGTTACCCCAGAGTATACACAGTCCACCTCCGTGGGGAAGCCAAGCGTTCAGTAGTACATGTGTTCCTTCTCCTCTCCCAACAGTGTGTCAGCAGATTACATGTCTCTGTCCTCCGCTGCCAAGTAGCTCTGTGCGGACACACCAGCCTCGGCGGAGACCGTGTACCACACAGCAGATATCTCCTGTCTGTGCAACCTCTTGGCCACTTTGTCTTGTTACTTTTCTTAATTGGACTACATCATGTGTTACTTTGCGCTACTCTACTTCACATCTCTTTATACTCTTGCGTGCGTTAGGTTTCATTTGCGACTAGTGTATAATCCTTCACTGTAGGATGCTATGTTGTCACTGACGAACTTGGCTCAGCAGCAAATTATCGAGTGCCTGCTGTCTTCAGTAAAGGCGTGCATGGAAAAATGGGGTTTCGACTTGGCTCTGCCATGATTGTGGCTTCTGGGACAAGACCATGTGTCAATCACAAGCATTGTGCCGTCTTATCCGCTATGGATGCCAAGCATATCCGCTGACCTGTTCGATCTCTTAACGGTCGGACTATAGGGAAGTTCACAATGCAATATAATGATGTAACATGTCTCTTCCGTTTCTCGGCTATATCTCGATATGCTGTTCTGTGTTGTGTTGTGCCATGCTATACCATACCTCGCAGGACCCACCCCCACGACAAAGTTAATATCAGTTCTGAAAATTCTGAAAAGGGCATCAAGTGCATGGCGGATTGGAACATCCACATGCGAAACATGCCGGTTCATCCGCGTTGTGTTGGGACATGCTGTTGGGTCAGTTGTGTTGTTGGTAGCTCCGCTATAATCACATTTTACTTTGCATCAGCAAACAGAACATTAATTCACCACACCACCATTATTTGTTTAAAATGCAGCCAAACGTTCGGAAATCATCGAGTAAGCAGTAAAAATGGAATCGCTGCCATTTCCGAGACCACCGATATCGCTGAACCGGGTAAAATTAGGTAGGGCTGAGATACACTTTGGTGTCAGCAGCTACCGGGTGCATCCTTCTTCGGCACAGAAAAGGTTCACAACGGCGTGGCAAAATCACAACGTCAAAATGAAATCCGCCCGAAAGACAGAGGTTATTAATATGGTTCAATGACATGCTGTCAGTCCAAGCAAAATATACGTTACGCCAATTTACCGCATCGCCACCTCTACTACACGACACCCGTCCTCATCGCCGCCATCGCACTCTTCATAGCCGTAACAACATGATTCGCAACAGGCGCATGAGCGTTCTGTCGGAATAGAAAGATATATCGCACCATCACACTCGCCTCATCGGTAATGACATGGATCCCAGTAGTAACGCTGTTTCCCTGCCCAACGACCTCGCACCCAAGGATAACACGCATATTAGCCAGCGCACTGTTCTTCCACGTCGAGTAGACAGGCGCATAACTAAACGACGTCGCGGGGTCTTCCGCCATATAAATTCCCCTTCCATACACAGCGCCCGTGCGTTGGAGTGTCGTACCCGAGCAGACAATAAGTCCTTTAGCGAGGATCGCTGGGAGGCGATCCAGTGATGTACCGTGGAACAGTACTGTAGTCTGCGTAGAAGGCCTCGGGAACTTTGCCATATACGCCGTTTCCAACGCCGGACTCGCATTCGCCAGGACAAACTGATGCGTCCCCGTCGGGAGATTCTTGATCTTACACAGCCCGCTTGCTGTAGCTATGTAGCCGCGATAGTGCGTACATGCCCATGAGATGAGCTTCTCGGCGTCGACGTGGTATTTCGACAGGACGGTGGAGATGTGGACTGCGTCGCGGATGACGGACAGTTTGGGTAGACTATCGAGGATGGTTTTGACGGTGCTGATGGGGTGGATGGGACAGTTGGGGAGGAGCTCGGCTTTGTTGGCCATGGCGGCGCTGTAGACGGAGCTGAGGAGCATGTCGACGGCGAAGATGTCGGTGCGGATTTCGGGGATGCGGACGTCGAGGGGGAGGGCGTACCTGTGTTGGGGGTGGTTAGTGATTGTACTATCAACGCTTTCTGTTCGGTGATGGCTTACCATAGCAGTTGACATGCGACAGTCCAACACGGTGTAGATCTCCGCAGTTGCGTGTTGTTCCTTTTGTGGCGACAGCCGCAGGAGATGCATCTTTGCCCCATTTCTCCGATCATAGTCTGGACGAGGCCGTACAGCCCCTTTAACGATACGTTCCCCGCACGAAGGTACCGATGGATATGCCTGTTCATCTGCCATACGAAGACTGTTTGCTTCGAGAAACACACATTACCGTGTGGTGCATTGGAGGTTGCAACACAGATCCACGGGAAATGTTGGTCAGTCTCTATACCCTTGTCACTGTCGTAGTGCACACAGAACGCGGGTGGCTTGGTCCCATACCGATCAATGGTTAGCCGTAAGAGAAGGTTGTTCGCTGTGCTCGGTACGCCCATTGCGCTTCGTTGTAGCTCAGTGTAGGAAGCGAGTGTGAAGCTCATCTCGATCTCGTCATCATCGATCAATTCGACTAGATCGATGATGCCGGGAGGCAATTCTTGTATTTCATCTTCCAGTAGATTGCTATCGGGTATATTGTACTCTTCGATCAGCAAGGCTGTCTGCAAGGGGTCTTTCGCTTTCAGTGTCCTCTTCAGCCCTTCGAGGCGTTCGGCTTCTCGCATGATCTCTGCTTCGATACCATTCCAGAATTCTGTCGCTTTCGAGAGCTCGCCTTTGGGGATATCCCGCTTGTACACTTCCAAGTTGAGCAGACGAGCTAGGCATTCGATGACGGTCTTCGTCTCTGGTGCTACGTCGTCGTCTTGGATCCAACCAGCAACCATGACCTCAGTGACAGCTAATGGGACGTCATATCTTCGCTTGGCAATTGTTTGGAGAGGTCTCTTCGCCTTTGACGTCAATGGGTCTGGTTGCATCATGATCTTGTACTGTTCAGACGCGTCGTCGTAGTAGACAACATCTCTTGAGACGATCCGAGATAGACCAGCTTGCTCGTGAGTAGGTAGTCCAGGTATGTCCAGAAAACCACATTTCGCATCCCAAATCTCGTTACATGCTTCTATAGCCTCATATGGCGCGTCCAGTAGTTTGGATAAACACTCAATGACCTCGCGCATATCTGATCTTCGACCGGATATCCAAAGGACAATGTTTTGCATGACTGCTTCCGCTGAATTTCCTTCCGCTTTTTTGAGATGCGAAAGTATGGCGAGATTCTCTTTCCTTCGTGGTTCGGTACCATAGAATAACATGTGACGTACTGCGGATGGACTCTCGGATACTTCTTCGAGCTTCGTCAAGGTGGGCCCGAACTTTGCTACTTCTGATACCCAAGTCAAAATCTGGGGCCGCAGTAGAGACGGTAACTCGTGTTTGTTGGTGTTATCGGCAATAGTGTCGGCGAAGATCGTCTCCAGTGATTGCATGAAGGAGAGCCATGTCGCAGGGTCCATGGTTTGGACCAAGTGGTCGATGATGGCAGTGCCCCATCGCGCTTCTTGCTTCTCATTTTGGTTCAGCCATCTTAGTAAGACCCCTCTCCAACATTTTTTGCAACCTTCCCGTGCTGCCAGGGTGTTCGTCAAAGCAATGATGGCTTGCCGTGTGTCCGTCTCCTGCACACGAACGATACGCACCATGTCTCGGACAAAAGAAGAAGATCGCCCCAAGCTAAGATCTACTGCGAGCTCATAGATGCATTCGCACTTGTGCCCAGAAGGATTGTCGATATCTCTTGAAACCAGTATAGCTAGCATGCGCCGGTCGACATCATCCACACCTTCTCCGGTATTCTCCCAGACTTCAAGGATATCACGCAATATCTGCTCGGTAGTGTCGCAAGATACTTCGGCAGTGAGCAGGTGGTCGACACAGTGTTTCTCGATGATCTGTTCAAGTGCGTGTCGTGATTTCTGATCTTTCGTATCGGATGCTAATGAGGGGGACTCGGTCGAGGCATCAGGATCGACCCAGACGAACGAGTGCTTTTTCTGCACTTCGTTTTGATGTAAATTCTGGGCGGCGACGTATATCTCCTTGATCGATGCCATTCGTTTAGCGCTGGGCCATGCGCCGACATCCGCTCGGACAGTAGGCTTCAGTCGCGGGAATACATGTTTAGATGCTTTCACAGCCATGCAAAATGTGTGCAGCTCTACTAGAAGGCGTAACCAAGCCGAAGTCTTCATCTGATTCCTTACGACAAATTGGCACTCTCGAAAGCACTCTCCAACCCCCTCGAATAGCCAATCTTGGAGGAAAAGCTCGCGAAAAGTCGTCGCTTCTGGTGCGTCGAGGAGACAGAGGAGTTGTTGAAGAGCGTGGACATGGAGTCCGCCGATTCGCTCTTTCTCGCACCATAGCTCGCGAATGAAAGCATGATTGTCTTTCTCCGGTGTGCATGCAATCTCTAACGAAGCGTCGAAAAGATCCAGGTTGCTCTTCGTAATCGTTCCGCCGATGGTCAATGCTCGAAACAGATTGAAGAGGCTTTCGCCCTGGGGCAGCGAAGTGGAGACAGCATCCAACCTTATCACGAGTCTTTCTAGGATGGTCGCCAAACATGCTTTTGTGTGCTCAGGGACCTCGATGATCAGGCCCCGGTAGTGTAACCAGTTCCTTTGTTCGCTATAGCCCGCTATCAAACCCTGACGTAAGGTATGCTTAGTACCAGTGATCATATCAGGTCCTTCCAAAGCCATGACGTCGAGGATAGTCGACATATGGATGGTGTTTATTCTAGAGAGACGCGTGATACGATCAACATCCGGTCTCCAAGAGGCCCACATTCTCCAGGCTGGGAAGTGGTGGCGATCGAAGACAGTTTCTATATTGATACAAGGTGGATCCGAAGACGGCGACAAGTCTAGTTCTGTCATCCAGTCTACTGCTTTCTTAGCTGCTACCCAATCACATGTCAATCGGAGGCCATTCAGGTGCTCCGCATAATCTTTTATAGCTCGTCGTAAAAGTACCGCGAAGTTGTGAAGATCGACATCCGGATTATGGGTTTTGTGATTCTGCAAGGCTCGCTTTACGCCCTTCAGATAGTAGCCGGCGGCATTGGCGCCAGTAGTCGCATAGGGTAAGAGCGTGCGTGCCCATTCTGCTTGCAGACGTGTAACTAAGGCAGGATTTCCTTCATGCGCAGCTATCACGCTCTGCAGCCAAGTGTCGAGGCCCCAATAGCTTCCACACATAACGTTCGTTTCAGCTCGCAGTAATTGGCCCAGGCTCTCCGCGGACATAGCATGCGCTACGGAAGCTATGGCGACATCTCTTGCCGGATGTGTCTGAACCAACATCGAAAGCCTCCTATCCGCCTCTTCTTGGCTGATCTTTCCTTTCTTCTTGAGATAGGTATCGGTGTGGTTCCGGATGAAGCCCCATGGAAATCGACGGTGTGAGGGGTGTAGTACCCCAGCAGTGGCCTCCACCTCCGCATGCCATTCTTGACTGTGATCGGTCTTCTTGAAGATAGTTGTGCTTTTCAACGGTATGGCTCTTTTGGCCCATGAAATATGGGAGCGTTTGCTGGTATCCTGTTCGACTGCAGTAGGAGGCATGACGGCGGTGGCCATGCTTGTCACACGTTTGTGAGGAATGACCCTGCGTCAAGGGTGAGATGATTAAATGGATACAGAGAGGACGTCTAGTTCGAGTCGCGCTACGAACGGTCGGTATCAAGAGAATCGTGGCTATCGGTTACCGGCAACAAAGCACGAGACCTTTCGAGCAAATTGTTAGGATTGAATTTGGTACAATGGGGATTCGTACCAGAACCGCGATTCGGATAGTGGGACCCAGAGTAGCATAGGTTTGGTAGTGTCCAAAGAGGTGCGGCCAATGGACCGTCGGCTGATGAGGGAGGAGGAACATCAAATTTTGGAGGCCCATACTGGATATTACGGCAAAGATACATGGCCAGCCTCGTATAGCTTACATGTGATGGGAGGCCTTTTACTGCGAGACTGAGACTTTGGGGCTGCGCGCAAGGCTAAATAGGGTGGCTTGTACCGAAAACACATTGACCGGCCCCCAGAACGGCTAGTGCGATGGCGACCGTGTAGGCTAACCATGGCATTAGACAGCGGTAAGCGAAGCGACGAAGATGGCAGTTCAAAGGAAGGAATGGTCGACGAAAGATGTCTGGCAAAGTTGATCGAGCGATCGGGGTATGAAAATGCCTTGTGTACATGATCCAAGGGTCTGTGACTGCGCCGCCCGGAACCAACCTCATGTAGCCGCAAATGTGCCTTATCGCAGCAAACGTCAGTGCAACGAATTGAACCCGTCAGGAACACTGACAGCTTCGACAACGCAATGAACCGCTACTGCGAAACGCATAAACATTCCCGATTTGAGCTTATGAAGCTACCACAGGCTGTCACATAATCGAACAATTACCTTCGTCGGTGTCAGGAGCGACACCACGGTTCTTCCGCAAATGCGCAGCGGCTTGCTGAATGAAGTCGCCTGTCTTGTGAAAACACACAAGGTTTCCTTTCGCATCCTTCACTGCTTCGCCGATAGACCAGTCATAAGACTGTCCAGTGTGAGAGTCTTTGGCAGGACACTTGAGACCTTCGATCGCTTTTTGCTCAAGATCTGGCACTGCTCAACCGTTAGCTTGCTGGTCGTCATTGTGCCGAATCAAGACCTACGTGTTGCAACGTATAGAAGAAACTCGTCTACTGCTCTGCGGCTAGGAAGTGTATCGCTACTTTGATCTGCTAGCAAGATCGCTGAGAGCTTCTCCATTTGTACGATTGTTTCCGTCCGCACACCCTTCGACATCTCGCGCTGCTCAACTCTTAGAGCTGCGAGAGACTTGCCTGTTGGGTGTAGAAGAATTCCCTTGACATCTTTAGGAGTGAACATTTCCCTACTCAGCGGGTTTCGAAGTACGCCACCGTTTGCCTGTATAGCCTGGACAAGTTCTAAAATTGGTCACAAAGTTAGTAAGGCTCTCATCCGAAAGTTGTGTATGAAAGCCACATACCATCCATCGACCACGCATAGTTGTCCTCGGTCACATAGAAGTCCTCTCTGGCGATGTCTTTAATGGCATCTCCAAGCATGGTCTCGTCATTGACGTAGTTCCTTTCGAGATGCTCATGTTCGACGTGCATGAAGCCAAGCTCGCAATGAAATTTGAGCGCATCAGGGAGCGTCGAATCGATGGCTCTTCGGCGTTTGACCAGAGTATCACGAATGGTGTCGATACTTGCGCCCGAGGGCGTTCCATATGGCGCGCGCACCCATTCGATCATGGCTTCCAGATCTGCGATGACTAGGTTCGTGGCCTCCTTCGGTTTGTCTCGGATGTTTCGCGCCACAGAACGAGCACTTGCTGGTGGGCGCATTCCACTGTACACGGCCCCGTTACTTCCGTCCGCCATAAGATGGATTTTAGCCAGGTTCTTCGATTGGGGCATGTCGGCCTTCTTCTGGAGGGTCTGTAGACGCAGCAGATTCGCGAATACATGTGTTGCTTTGGCACGTATATCACGATACCCAGTAACCAGGTTTCGTTGTTCGTCGTTTAGATCATCTACTGATTCGCCTAAGATGAAGTCCGACCGCTTGGATCCACGTTTCGATATTGGTTTCGCCGTGAATTGATAGTTCTTCAAGGGTTCGCCTCCGGACTGCGTGGAAGATGCGTGTATTGACTTGACTGCCTTCTTCTGAGGCGCTGGAGGCTCTGGCACTTTTTCGAGAATCTTTAAGAACCTAACAACGTCTAGGTCTGTGGGAGCTAAAGCCTGGAGCTTCTTGGCCTCATCTAATGCACCTTCCAGCCATTCATTACCGACTGCGATGTAATGTTCGATAAGCAGCTTCCTGGCTTCTACACCTGGCGGGCTACGAGATATGCTTTCGTAAAGCTCTCCGATATAGATCATGTCAGGACCTCCTACATATGCAGCAGTGCCTGATGTCGCGGCCATGGCTGCTGAAGCACCGGTTGGATGAGGATACCGTGATTCCGGACGTCAATGGTGGGCTGGATGTGAGTGCTGTGGGTGCGAGGCTGAGCCCGGTCGGGCCTGCTTGTCACAAGTCGAAGCAACTTTGGAATGTGTGAAATGCTTGTGATGACCTGTGCCCTGCTGGTCAGTGGACATAGTTAGTCGCATGGAGAGATCAAAAGCTGGAAGCCACAAGGCTGAACCAGAGTGAAATGCGGCCCCCACCGCATGTGGTGACCGGTGATTGTCAAAGGCAGGGCTCGAGGTTGGCTGGCACTGCAGGAACACCAGTGGCTTAGCGCGACGCTAGTGCCCGCTACCCGCGGCACTGCCCAGGTGCCTCGTGAATGCAGGTGAGATAATTACCCCACGAGCGGATATTTCTAAATGTTTGTATTCAAGACAAGACCAGCGATGCAGTAGCCTCGCGGTTCTGAGATCCAAATCTAGGGTATCAAGCTCTCCTAGGCCCAGTCACATCGAACCCAAATCAGTACAGCAAATCCGCGAACTCTCCCAAAACACCCTCCTTGCCGCCATCAAAGAACTCGTGCATACCGTCCATAGCCGCAAAGTGCTCGGCCACCTTCAAGCCCCTTAAGCGCTCTGCCTCTATAACGTCCCAGTTCCAGTCCTTCGCCTCTACAGCCTTGGGCAGGACATCGTCATTCGGCCCTTGTTCTTCGGTTGCAGCCTCTTGGTAGACCCAGCCTTCTGGCTTTGCGGGGACCATATCGGCATCGACCAGTACATGCTCCGGTGGCACTGTAATCCTGCCCCGCTTGACGACATACTTTGCAATCGCAGTGGCATATATCGCGCCCTTGAGCTTTTCTGTATCAACATCCTTGGCTGGCTTAGACTTCTTCCAAGGCTGCAATGTCCAGCTCTCGGGTTGTGCGACGCCAGGCTTGACCATGTGTGTGACGAGATAGAACCACTTCTTGTCCCAACACAGAAGTCTTGTCCACATCTCGTACTTCTTGTACGGGAGTATCTCCTTCTTGAACAGACAGCTTATGCCTCCTAGCGCAATGTAATGCTTTCCCCGTGTGCCCTCAGTTGCCCCTATTGCTCCTGCTACAGCGCTCTTCTTGGCACCACCTAGACGACTGTTCTTTCTTATACCGTTGCGAATGAGCGCGGTAAAGAGGTGTGTACGTGATATGTCCATGTCGCTAAAGTATGTGCTGTTGGACTTGTGCATGTTGTAATCTGTCTCGAGGAACGTGGTACGCGTCGAGGTAATGATCGGTTGGAAGAGCGCATGCGGAGGGATCGGAGTCGGTTGGAAATACAGTTGGTAGAATAAGGCGCGGATGAAGCGTAGCTATGGATATCGTCAGCTCGAAGTCGCGTGTCCTGCCGCTCTGCCTGATACGTACATGCCAGACGAATGGCAGATTCTTGAGGTTCGCCAATGCGAGAAGAATCGTAGCTATCCTCCACAGACCGCCAGGCGCGTTGTAGCCTGTCCATCTGGCCAGCGTAGCCATCAGGTTGCCTCTCATAGTAGGTTGCGACACGAGTGCTGCCATTGACGCGCCCGCAACGACGATGCTAGCCGTCTGCGCCATTGTGACCATACCAGAAGATGGCTATCGATCTAATGAGCGACAGCAAGGGATGGGCACGTTATTATACAATCAGCGTCAGCATACGCCGCCCTGCCCCTTCGCGAAGGTTCAGGTGCCCTTCCTAATCGCGAGCCGAGGCTCGGAATGTTCCGCACTTAGGAACATGTGGAT